CCCCAAAACCCCAAAACCCCAAAACCCCAAAACCCCAAAACCCCTTTCGTTAAATGATGAATAGAAATATTTTAAATCTTCAATATGGGAAACTGTTGAGCAGGAACTTTAGAAAATGAAAAGAATGATATTATCCTGAGTACGAAATCCAAGCAGATAGTTGATAATGCAAAAACGAATCAAAACTACCATCTGATCCTCAGGATGCAATCTGTGATGCGTAGCTATCTCGCTGCGAAGAAAGCAAAGAGACTTGCTCAACGTAAAGTTGGCTCCAACATCAGTGAAGGTGTTCCTACTGGGGACGGCACTTATATGAATCAAGTTGTAGAAGAAATGTATAACCAACTTGGTCCTTATGACTATAACATGGGGAAAAATAACGTATACGACGAGACTGTAGTCATGAAAGGATGGCGGACACTTGATGATGGAGATAGCTTCTCTAAGAATGGATTAGGGCAATCTAACGGAAACCAGATCCTTTATCAAGGAGAGTGGGATGCTAATAATGGACTCAGACATGGTAAAGGCACCCAAATCTGGCCAGACGGGTCTCGATATGATGGCTACTGGAGGAATGATCGAGCAAATGGACCTGGCCGTTTGATTCATGCAGATGGTGATGTTTACCAAGGAGATTGGGAAGATGATAAAGCTCATGGATGGGGTCAGTACATGCATCTTGACGGCTCTACCTATGAAGGATACTGGCAATATGATAAGCAACATGGAAAGGGAAAAGAGAAGTGGCCTGATGGCGCAGAGTATGAAGGAGACTATCAAGATGGTAAAAAGCATGGCTATGGCAGATTCACGTGGGGTGAAGGATCAGTCTTTGAAGGAAATTTTGTTGATAATAATATTCAAGGCCAAGGTGTCTACCAATGGGCCGACGGAAGAAGATTCGAAGGTGGCTGGTATAACAATAAGATGGAAGGATATGGTATATTTGAATGGGCTGACGGCAGGCGCTATGAGGGAGAATATAGGAATGATAAATAAGGAAGGGCTTGGTATTTTCTACTGGCCTGATGGCAGAATTTACCACGGAACCTGGGCTAATGGTAAGCAGCAGGGATACGGAAAGTATACCAACGCAAACAGGGAGGAAAGATACGGACATTGGACTAATGGTAGAAAAGATAGATGGTTATCTGAAGAGGAATATAATCAAGCTTATGCGAATGGGCATTTTAATTTTCTAGAGCACAGATAGGCAAAAATTAGTAATCGATTCATAATCAATTTAAATTAAATAATGAGGGGTTTTGGGGTTTTGGGGTTTTGGGGTTTTGGGG